CCCGAGCCCAGCCGGAGCAGCGAGGGGGCCAGGGAGGAGCTCAGCCAAAGGGGAAACCTCCCAGCTCCCAGATGTGGGATGCGAGGGCTGCAGAGCTCCTGTCCTACCCCCAAATGCTTTCCCAAAAGCTGCAGGGTCCCACCGGGGTCGGCACATCCCGGGGTGGAGCAGAAGGGAGAGGGGGTTCATCCCCGCTCCCGCTGCCGGACCATCCCTGGGCACAGACAGCTTGCATCAGCATCACTCTCAAGGCTGGGGTTTGGGATTTTTTTTTACTGCAGTTTTCTCCCCTCCCCTCTCTCTCTCCTTCTGGCCTATTTTTGTCTTTTGCAGGGGCTCAGGAGTTTTCCTGAAACAGCTTTTCCGAAGGAGGCTACTCTCAGATGGACGGTCGGTGGGAAAGTCTTCGCTTCCCCCCGCCATCGCTCCTCCTACCCGCCCCGCGCTGCTGCTGCTGCTGCTCGGAGCTGCAGCCGCTGTTTGGAGCATGCAGAGGAACACAGCACCCGAGGGGGGGGAGAGGAGTAAAAATAGTCCCTTGCAGCCTACTGGGGCCCCGCTTCTCCCTGAGGGAGCTATGGCCAATTGGGTTAGGTAGGACCTACTTCAGTCCCCCCACACTCGGTGAAGGCCTTTCTTCCCATGACCCCGTTTGAAGATGCTGCCTCCCCGTGAGGAAGAGGAGGGGGGGCTCTGCAGATCAAGGGGGCGGGCTGCCACCGAGCCCCTTCTCCATCTCCGGGGTGGTGGCCGGCGTGCAAGGGAAGAACAAACAGTCCATGCTGCTGCGGGCAGGGCTGAATCATCGGTGGGGACCCCCCCAGCCCCGGCGGGGGCATGGGAGGGCAGGGAGGCAGCGGAGCCAGGCATGGGGCACGGGCAGGTTTGCTTGGCTCCTTGCGTGGTATGTGGGGGGCGAGCAGGGCACGCTTACCGATGTTGGGGTGCTTCAGGAGGCGGCAGATCCGGGCTTCTCGTTCCAGCTTCTGGTGATCTGAAAGAGGCAACGGCCCTAAATTAGGGTCTTGGGAAAGGGAATAAACCGCTCTCAGCTCCTGCCATGCTCTCTAGGAGGAGCTGCCAGCATGGGAGACCTGGTGGGACGGAGCAGCTGACAAGAAGCAAACCCATCTTTTTTTTTTTTTTTTGCTAAAGGGTTTGGGGACATGCTCAGCATCAGGGCCTGATGGACAGCATCCCAGCGCCGGATGCAGCCCCCAGGCAAGCCCCCAGTCACCAATGCCATGGGCAGACCTGGGCTTTGGATGATCCCTCACCCTCCTCTCTCCCTTCTCTTTGCTGAACAACTCCCCATCACCTCCCGAATCCCCCGGAGCTGCCTGGGCTATCGCTGCCAGCAGCACCTGTTCTGTTTTCTCTTATTCAGCCAAGCACAGGCAATCAGCAAGGACATTTCTGGCCCCGCATGGTACAATTTGAACAATCGAAGATAGAGCCGACCAGCGAGAGATGTCAAGCTGAAACGGGGCTATCCCCTTCACTCCCCCTCTCTCCCAGCCATTTCACATCAGGTCTTTGCTCTCCTACATCGCAAAACCCTGGCTCTGAAAATTGGCTTCGCTCTGGTGCCTGTCTCCAAACAGGCAGCACAGGTCCCTCTCCCCAGCTTTCCCCAGGCTCGGGGATGTGAGACAACGAGCTCTGGGCAAAGCAAGTTGAGCTGAGCCAAAAAGCCTCCACCCCGGGGCAGCCCAGAATGAATTTTCAAATAATTCTGTTTCTTTTCCCCTGGCTCTGCACTTTTCTCCCTCCTTATACCTGACCCAGCCACCCTGTGTGGAGGTGCCTTGTCTGGAGGCATTTCGTGCTAGCAGGAACCCAGCAGCCGGGAGAAGCGAGGATATAATTAGGGCTGCTCGTCTCTCAGTGCTATTGCTGTTACCTTGCAGGTTCACACCCCAGGATCTCGCCCTGCATCGAACCAAACCTGGGTGTCCCCAACTGCTCAGACTTGAAGGATACGTAGACCCTTCCCTGTGGAGGCTGGAGCCTTCCCCAGGGTTCAGTATCCCCCGTCCAGTGACCGCGGGGCTCGGCACGAGCAAGTCACCCCAGGGCTTGGGGTGAGTTTTGCAGCCTGTGCTGGGATCCGCGAGCTGAAGGCTGGGCCAGCCTCGGTGGCCTCGTTCAGCTCCCCATGGCGTTCCCCCCTAATGGGGGACAACCTCCCCAGGGTGGGACAGGGCGACAGGGAGAGGTCGGGGTTTAGGCTGTTGCTTTTCTCAACCAAAATCCAATGTGGGGTGGAGGACAGGGACAGGATGGAGGGATAGTGTGACCAGTGGGGAAAACACTCTCTGGGGAATGGGGGAGCTGCTTTCTGCTCCCTTTTCTGCTCCTGCCTGACAGTGATCTTAGGTGAGTCACTGATTGTCACTCTCTGCCTCAGTTTCCCCATCTGCAGCACGAAGGCTGGGGCCAAATAGCCCACGGGGAAGCCCAGCATTGCTGGTGTCCAGTAAAGCTCCTTTGCTTGCTTGGAAGAGGCCAGAAATCACGGGAGAGGGAGGTGAATGTGACCCCGAGTATGGAGCAGCTCCCGGCACCGCTCTGTGTGCCTGCACGCCGCTGCCAGTCGAGCCTTGGGCTGCACAGG